CCGAGTGCTGGGATTAAAGGCGTGCGCCACCACCGCCCAGCATAATTTGCAGGAATCTTTAAACTTGAGGGGTGGTATGTTTTGACGCTAACCTTTCCCATTCACTAACACTGTTCTCTAACACTTCTTACCCAGCAGAATGATGATGCAGAGGAGAATGGCTATCAAAGCGCCAGTGCTGAGGCCGGCAGGGAGGAGCAAGGCTTCGGCACTGCAGGACTGCATGTTGCCCTGGCTGTCGCAGGCACACACTCGGATGGTCAGGGTACCAGTGCTGCTCTGAATTGGGTAGTCATTATCAGATATCACCACAGGCAAGAGATAGGTGCTTATTTCATGTCGGTTGAAGCCGTTCTTTCTGGTTAAAATTCTGGCAGTGTTATCTAAAACCAATGATAAATCATTACATACAATTTGGAGCAGTCGATGTGTTTTAGTGTGAACCATGGTTTTAAATAAAAAATCATCATCAGTTTATATCAATTGGGATTTTTTTGTATTCAGTATGCACAACGCAATTCAAACTAGGCAAGGTATATTAGATACTACGGAGACTCTAGTGCTATGTATTACTGTTTAGTTTTTAATTTATTTTGAGAAAGGATCTTGCTTTGTAGCCCTGGCTGGATTTGACTAAGATCAGCTCCCCTGCTCACACTCTCAAGTATTGAGATTACAGATTGCAGCTCTATGCCCAGACTGCATTGATAATTAGATTTCAAGTGATTGTCCCATAATGGTAAACATATAAATTCATTTTTGATGTCTGTACGGATGATAAATATTCTAGGGGCTAAAAAAATAAGCTTTGAATCAAGAAAATAATCCTTTTAATTGTTTAAATTTACACATGTCTGAATGTGTACTTTCACATGACAAAATATGCTGCAATAATTATAAAGAAAATACAGTTCAGTGTAAGCACATAAAATTATCAAGATGCATTAAGATTCAGATTTATGTTCATGTGTAGAACTTCCATGTAAAGCAGTGTCTAGGCTAAAATGTATGGAGAGCTCTGTATAGAATATTCTTTTTTTTAATATTCTTGCTTTACATAGTAAAGTGGCACTTGGAATATATTTGATGACTTTTAGATTTATGGTTGATGTGGAGCAGATAGATGACTGGCTATATTACTGCAACTTCATTGGATATTGATCTTTTTTTAAAATAAATGAATATTTCAAATAAAAAAGATTCAGATTTATAATCAAAGTTTAGAAAATATTGAATATTTCTGAACACTGCTTCCATCCATTAAAACAAAACTATAAGAAATATTATATTATATGTAAATGAAAAAAAATATAAACAAATATATCACGTATATGATTAATGAGCAACTTGCCATCACTGTTGGGGAGTGCCAAATAACATTTCAAAAAATGTAGAATTTTAACGAAGTTCACCATGCATTGGCCTCCTACTCTGCTAGTGAAGTTTTCCCTGACCTGATAAGTAACCCAATTCTCCTCAATGTGAGTTGTGGGGGAAAGTACATGTCATTGCTTCTGGTCTCAAATAACCAACTCTTAGAAAACACTGAGTATGTTACTTTTTTTTTTTTTTTCTGTCAGATGGATGTAGTCTTGATTCTCAAAGGGCTATCTGCATGGCCAATAGAGAAACGCCAATCAATCAGTTGTAAGTGAAACAAACGGGACAGAGAAAGAAAGTGGCACTTGCTTCCTGGTTCAGTGGCTGAATCTAAAACAAGTGCTTTCTACATTATCAGGGAAATGTTAACTACGTCAGGAAAGCAGAAGTTTGAAATAATAGAAACATAGGAGCAAATCTGAAAATGTACCTCTCAAGCTTTAATATCTAAGATAAAAATGCGGACGTGGGCATTTTGAGAATCTTCTTGTCTAGGTGTCTTTTTGTGAATTTTAAATCTTAATTTTGCAATACTTTTGCCACATGTAAGTACCAAAATGAATTTTATTTTAAAATACCTCTTATACTTTAAATTTTATGGAAGAATTAGATTTAAAAATTATGATATATGTATTTAACTTACCACAGAAATAAATTAATTTTAAAAGGATTGGTATCATTAAATAAGATATTTAAGATGAACATGTGAATAATCATGAGGAAACAGTCACAAAAAGCATATCCTTTAGTTACTTTCTGTATAATTACAGTTCCTTTAAACTTTCACCCCAAACAGAAAACAATGGCATATATAAATTAGACCAAATATTCCACCAAATTATATGGAATGCAACTCAGTGAGCTCTTCAGGTTGGTCTTTGTATATGTTTGTTCCTTGCTTTGAGTAATTTATATAGATTCAAGAATTATTTCTAGTAAAACAAAATCATAACCTATGTCAAAGATTAACTAAGGTGAGTCTTAAGTGGTTTCTCCGGGACCTTTGAAAGTAGTGCTATGATAGTACCAATCCTAATCTACCTCAGTTTTTAACATCTAGTGCTCAACTTCAGAGGAAAAGAATCAAAATTAAATAAACCCAGAAACAGATATTGTCAATTCAGTACTGAGGATTCAATTCAGACAGCTGTAATCTCAAGTCTGTGTTCAGGTTGCTAGATTCAGCAAATTGAAATTATACTGGATGTTGTTCATCTGAAATTCAGACTCAGCTCAACATTCTGTATATCGACTGCCAAGTCTGTGTTACTCTTTTCTAATCCAATTACTCGATGTGTCTAGAGTGACAGAAAACAAGGACATTTCAAATCTTAAGATTTAGTGAAAGCACATGTCTCAAATGGATAACTTTTCTTTGTCTCATTTATGTGAACATTCTACTGGATGCAATCTCTTGGTGAGTAGCTAGTGTGATATAAAATGATCCAATGTCTTAAGCTTTTTTTTTTATGACACATGAAAACCACCTTGAGGAAATACAGCCACTTGGCCTTGCTAACATTTTTCAGACACTGTGAAGAAAGTACTGTATATTTGCTAGTGTGGTTACAAGATTTACTTGAAATACATCTGCAGACAAGCAGATTTACCAAGCAAAAATATCTTCTACCAACATGAGCTAAGGTATGAAATATATAAAATATAGATGAGTCCTAATAACACACATACACACACACTCATGTGTCTGTGTGGGCATGCGTATACTCTACAGTAGAACAGTTCTCATGATGCATATTTATCAACATTTTAATAATAGTCATTTTCACAATGTTTATATAAAATACTTTCTGCCTTTTATGGGAACAAAAATAACTTCAGAGAGATACTATTTGTATTTTACAAAGGACAGTAGCGTGCTTGTCACTACAACAAGGAATATGCAGATGCTTTTGGAAGATTCCATGGCTTTCTCTCCTTCCCCACTATTTCCTTTATGCCTAACTGCCTCTAGTATTTCTGCTACCATGATGTCCCAACAAAGTTTGTGTAATAAAAGCATAGAATCTTTCTTTCCTACAGCCATTCACGTTTTATCATGTTTATAATATTAACTAATTATTCGCAGCCATTCTAATCATTTCAACATTTAGTCTTTCTCTGAACACCCACAGTTTTATAACGGATTTTACTATTTTAAATTTAAGAGAGTATATAAACTCAAACAGGATATTATAGTAATACATTACTACAAATGGAGATGAACAGGCTTTTATGCTTACATCATTAAGTTGATATGAAACATAAATAAATGAATTGTTATATTGCAATAATTACTTTGGGGGTAAATTTCCAATGATGTTATATTAGATATGAAAAAGAGTTCAAAAATGACCTTCATTATCCTGTACTGTGAAGTTAGAATTAACAGCGGCCAAACTGAAGAAAAACTTCTGTCCACCTAAGGGATCATCTTTGTCAACGGCACTTATGGTCTGTATCAGCTGCAGGAAAGAGAACATTACAGTCATCACATGTCTGCTGGTAGAATAGGGATCACATTACACAGACTGAGCAGGTTGTACTTAAGGGCACGCACACACACATACACACACACACACACACACACACAGAGAGAGAGAG